ACTCCGTGCCCTGCCCCCCAACGGCCGCGGCGACACGTGAAGACTGCACGCGCTGTACTAATGAATTGCCTGCGCCGTTGTCCTGAACCAAACCATTCTCCAATGCCGCCAAGCTAAGAATACCGCCGTAATGTCCACGCCTGGACCGAACAGCAGCAAGTCGACGCCTAAACACCCGTACGCCTTCCTGCTCATTGCCCTACACGGCCGGACTAACCCGCTCCAGATATCTCTCTGGCAACTTCGCGCCTGTCTCTACAACATGTCCCCCTACGCCTGTCTCATGGACCGGCCGCATTCCACCAGAGCTGCTGGGCGGCATGTACGTCCGCAACGGCGGCAATCCCGTGACCAATTCCGACTTGGGACGTGAAGCGCATTGGTTCGACGGCGACGGCATGCTCGCTGGAGTCTGGTTCAGTCGCTCTGTCGCCGACCCTACCAAGCCCGCTGTCAAGTTTGTCAACCAATTCATCACCACCGACGTGTACCGCACCGCCATTGAGAACCCGAGTCTGCGCACGCCTATCCTACCTAGCATCGCGACCCTGGTCAACCCTGCCTCCAGCTTGTTGCTTATCCTCTGGCGCATCCTACGTACTGTACTGGTCGTCTTCTGGACCCATCTCTCAGGCTCTGCACGCGCTATCAAGCGCATCAGCGTCGCCAACACCAGCATACTATACCACGATGGACGTGCGTTGGCGACATGTGAGAGCGGACCGCCAATGCGCATTGCGTTGCCAAGCCTGGAAACCGTCGGCTGGTTCGACGGTAACCGGGCTGAAGGCGAGGCCACACCCGGCGACAAGGACAAGAACGACGAGAAACAGCCTGAAGCTCTGGGTGGAACTGGTGTGCTGAGCTGGATGAAAGAGTGGACAACAGGTCATCCCAAGGTCGACAAGGTCACGAACGAGATGGTTCTGTTCCATTGCAACTTCGTCGCACCCTATGTTCACTATTCCCTACTTCCAGCAGAAGGCTCTGTTGCAAAGAGATCAGGTTCAGAGGGAAACAGAATAATCAATGCGCCAGTCCCCGGGTGCTCTGGCGGGAAGCTCATGCACGATTTCGGTGTGTCACGCCACAATACCGTTATACTGGACCTGCCGCTCTCCCTTACCCCATTAAATTTGGCGATGAACAAGCCCATTGTCTTTTACCAACCCGAGAAACCCGCCAGATTCGGTGTCTTTCCCCGGCGACACCCGGAATTAGTACGTTGGTTCGAGACAGACGGCTGTTGTATCCTTCATACAGCCAACACTTGGGATGAGTACAACAGCGCCGGCGATATATCAGCCGTCAACATGCTAGCCTGTCGGTTGACTACCGCATCTCTTGTGTTCAGTGCCGGGAACATTGAACCGCCTCCAAACCCAAGCCACAAGCAAGCGAGCAGGCCCATGTCTTTCTTCGCCAAATACGATGACGAAGAGCATGTGCAGGATCCCGAGAAATCTCATTCAGACGAAACTTCGCCTTTGCTAGGAGTCCACAACGAACCAGAGTCATCAAAGGCGCCCCACAACGTTCCCATCTCACATGACGACGAGGAACAATGTCGGCTGTACTACTACCGGTTCTCACTCGCGCCGGGCTCATCGAACACTATCACACATGAGTTTGCCTTGGCAGCGATCCCTTTCGAATTCCCCACCATCTCGCCCTTCACTGAAATGTCACGCGCACGGTACATTTACGGCTGTAGCACTTCCGACGAATCGTTTGGCGCGGCATTAGGCAAGGCGACAAAGATCGACATACTCGTAAGAGTTGATGTGCAGACGCTGCTCAATCGTGCCCAGAAATCACCTCCACAGGCTGTGGACGGCTGCATCGACACCCGCACAATAGACGAGATACTTGCGTCAGACGACCGCGATGATCCTATCAAAGCGTTCCATCTTCCACCAAATCACTTTGGACAGGAAGCGAGGTTTGTACCTCGTTCAGCGAACAGTGCAAGTGGTGAAGACGCGGGATTCGTCGAAGAAGACGGGTACCTGCTGTTCTACGTCTTCAACGAAGACCAGTTGGATGAAGACGGGGAATGCAAGCCAGATGCAGAGAGCGAGTTATGGGTATTGGATGCACGGGACATGCAGACTGTCGTTTGCAAGATCCAACTCGGCGCTAGAATACCCTACGGCTTGCACGGGAACTGGTTTACAGAAGAGGACATTGCTCAACAGCGAGAAATCGCAAGCGTGCGATCCGTGTCAGAAACGCAGTCTGAGGCAGGATCGAGCAATTTGCGAAAAGCTCTAGTTAGTTGTCTGGGCTAGTGACGCCTCTGTGTTCGGACCACTTGTCTAATGGATCGAATGGTTTCGAGACGTTAGCGCTACCACCTTCTTACGTAGTCGACAAACTCTTTCCACGAGTTTTAATATCCAAAGCTTCATACTACCGCTCTTCACATGTGCCGAGTGTTGTCCTGGTGATGTGCGACGTTGCCCTAGTCAATGCGGCATCTAGATTTGCCCCGCTTTGAACAGAAAGCTTCGTTGCGCCGATCCCTGCCGTGGGTGTTGATCTACTCGACTCCCGCACTGACGTAAAACCACCGATAGGAACGATGCCTGCCTGGGCAGTGAGTGACAAGAACATCACACCACCATGATATTGCCGTTGCGGTAATGATACGCTGCCATGCATTTCTTCCCCTCACGATGCGCATTCTCCCCTCATGATGCGCATGCAAAAGGCCCTTCTCACGATCTCACAGCGAAACTCTGTGTCAACCTCATCAAACACTCTCAACACACGATAAGACACAAACTAGCCTTAAAGCCAACTCAACGCCAGCGTTAAGTTGACTCGGCTGGCGTTATGCAACAGATGCAAGTCGATGTCGAAGTAAGCTCAATAGATCAACGTCATAAAGCTTAATCTTAGTGGCGCTCGCTCAGGTGGTGAGACGGAAAGGCCGGGCGCTATGCTCAGAATCTTTAGCGTCGATGATGATGATGATCCTAGTGTGACATGGCTATTGCACCGAGCAGCCGTCACTGAAATCAGCCATTTGGACCAGAGAAACTGGAAATGCTAAACGCAGCGCATGCTTCTGACTGGCCGTCACTCACCGTCACTGGCTCTTGAGTGACAAGTCCCGGCCTAGTCTGGGCCCCTGGTCGATTGAGGGTTTTGACATGCTGCATGATCAAGCTCCAATCCGCTCGAGGTATGTCGTCATGATGGCATCTCTGGATCTCATGGGCGGTAAGTTCAAGATATAACCAGTACCTGATACCTCTTGCTTTCGTTAAGCAGTTCACTTGGTACATTCCAGCCCATACTATTCATTTGGCATTTTACCACTGTTTTCGCAATGGATCTCTTTCGCAGGAACAATGCGCTGAACCTCAATGACAACACTGTCAATGGTGCGACGGCAGACATTGCCATTACCACACATGGATCCGACTTCTACTTCGCTATCTGCGCCGCCATGGGTCTTTCTGGATTCATCTTCATCGGTCTTGGATACCGCAAGGCGCGTCGCGACCGTCTTTTCCACTACATTACTGCTTCGGTAGTCTTCGTCGCATGCATTGCCTACTGTAAGTCTAGCGATTCTCATCACAGCATGAGAGATGTGTGCTGATCTTTACTTTCACAGTCACCATGGGAGCCAACTTGGGCTTCACACCCATCGCAGTCGAATTCCCCCGTAGCGACCCCAAGGTAGCAGGAACCTACCGTTCGATCTACTACGTCCGATACATCGACTGGTTCATCACCACTCCTCTGCTGCTCATCGACTTGCTCCTCACTGCCGGCATGCCATGGCCTACCATTATGTGGGTTGTTGTCGTTGATGAGATCATGGTCATCACCGGTCTCGTTGGTGCTCTCGTAGAGAGCCGTTACAAGTGGGCTTACTTCGTTTTCGGCTGCGTCGCTCTCTTCTACATCGTCTACCAGCTCGCATGGGAATCGCGCATCCACGCCAAGTCATTCGGCCGTGATGTTGAGAGGACTTTCATGATGTGCGGAAGTTTGACTACTTTGCTCTGGATCTTGTACCCTGTCGCGTGGGGAGTCTGCGAGGGCGCGTAAGTTTTACCCAACAACGATCATAATCGTGCAGTCACTTACACCAGAACAGCAACCTCATCGCTCCTGACAGCGAAGCCGTCTTCTACGGTGTCCTTGACTTCCTAGCCAAGCCCTGCTTCGGTGCCCTCCTTCTTTGGGGCCACAGGAACATCGACCCCGCCCGTCTGGGTCTTGCCATCCACGACTACGGTGATGCCGACGCTGTTGTTCAGGAGAAGAAGATCAAGCCTGAGACTGCTGCCTCAGGCGCAACTGCCACCCACCCCGATGGGTACAACGGCACTGCTCCTCACGTCGACAACACTGTCTAAACAAATCTCTGGGTTTAAGGTGAACAGTGACCTCTGATAAGGAGGAGAGATCAGAGGTATGGTGGTAGTTGTAATGTTAGGATGACCTTCGCGTTCGCAACCCCTTCGGGAACGAGAATGTGGAGCTGTAACGTGGATCGATCATGAGTACTTTCAAGATACCCTCTTTGGTAGATTCTTAATTAATTTATTACCTTGTCAACAATGTTTCCAATCCACTCTCACTGTGTTTGCATGACATAGTTTTACAGCTAGAACCATCATCAGGCGCTCTAGCCATCCAACCTTCCCCTGATGCACACCAACACAGTCAAACTCGATTGTACAACCAATACACTTTGCGCCTCGGCTATGCAACATATTCACACCTTTAATTTTGCCCCATCCGTGCCATAATTATTCGCTACATAGTTACCACACACGTTCTCCCAAAGCTTGTGCATGCATTGATGGACCGGCTAGCCAACATTTATTTCTCACATCTATTCACATTGCATCACCCACAATCGTGACCCCTCAGGAATCCATGACAAAAAGTAGTTATTAAATCAAGGAGAATAGATACCAACAACCTTGATGTACTAAAAGCCCATATCTACAGTAATACCACCCACCCCAACACTACCAATCGCCCAGCAACCCATTACCAGCCTTCTGATACACCAAAACACCCGGTACCGTCACAAACACAAGGGCAATGCTCAACAATATCCAGACAAGCCAGCTAAGATACGGTCCGTTCTGAGTGCGATCCAGGGGACCAGGAGCTGGCTTGGGCTCTGCCTTGGCGTCCAGCGGGCGCCACGGGATGCGGCTCATTTCATTGCGGTCATGGAGGATCTGTTCGGTGACCAGCTTCGCACCAGCAAGTACAATGGGAACACCCGTGCCAGGGTGTGTGCTCGCGCCGACAAAGTACAGATCCTCGATGCTGCGATGCTTTGTCTTGGGCCTGAAGCTGAGCACGTTGAAGAAGGAGTGGCTGAGACCGAGAATGGCGCCACGGTCGAGGTTGAAGGTGGATTTCCATGTCACGGGCGTGTTGATGGTCTCTTCGATGATGTGGGGACCGAGCGAGATCTTGAGTCGCTTTTCCATGGTTCTGATGATGGTTTCACGTGCTGATGCTACCATCGAGTCCCAGTCTTGGGTCAGGCCTTTCGTGTGCCCCGAGCCCTTGTGTTGGTCGTCAGATGAGCCTTCCAAGTGACCGACTGGGACCAGGATAACGATGGAATCACAGCCCTCTGGCGCGGCGGAAGGATCGACGCGGGAGGGGACGTTGACGTAAAAGCTGGGTTGATCTGGAATCAGGTGCTTCTTGAAGATACTGTCAAAGCTCTCTTTGTAGTCTTCCGCGAGGAAGATGTTGTGAGCGCTTAGTTCGGGGAATTGTCGGTCTAGCGCCCAGTAGAAGGATATGCTTGAGCAAGACGCTTGACGTTTCAGGAGAGCTCGTCCAAACGAGGTGGACGGGAGAAGGTTGTTGTATGCATAGGCCAAATCTGCGTTGCAGACAACCACATCAGCGGTCAATGGCTCCTGGCTCTCATCTTCGAAAACCACGCCGGTCGCACGTTTCCCGTCGTCTGATATCTGTATGTTGCGAATCGGGCTGTTGAACTTGAATTCGACACCCAAACGCTCACCTACGTTGACAAGAGATTCGACCACCTGATCACGTTAGTAAAGAAGATTTTCTGCAATGGAGTACACTAACTTTATGGAAACCGCCAATAGGATACCAGATGCCCTCCGCCAGCTCCGTATATTGCAGCAGACTGTACGTTCCCGGAGCGTCAAACGGGCTCATGCCCATATACATGCTTGCAAACGTGAAGACTCTCCGTAACCTCTCTGTCCAGAAGTACTTGCTCGCCCGGTAATAGATGCTCTCAAAAGGATGCAGCTCGAAGAGATGCAGCAAGAAGTCGAAACGGACCATGCTCAGCAACGAGTAGAAATTCTTCTTCAGCACATGGATGATGGACACCTCATAATGTCGATGTGATTCTTGCAGGAAAGCAAGGTACCGCTCGAATCCGTCTTTGCCTTCAAAACGCTCGACTTCAGCCTTCATGATGGAGATGTCGGTGGAGAGTTTGAAGGTAGTATCATCGTGGAAATGAACATTGTAGTTCGGTTCGCATTTGACCAGCTTGACGCCCTCTGCATCGAGCGAGGTGCCCAGATCCTCGAATGTTTCATGGAAGAATCGAGGTAGGAGTAGTAAACTCGGACCTTGGTCGAACCTCTGCGTAACGATTAGCGTTGAGTCGTGCAATGCTGCCGCACGCTCGTCGACTTACATATCCGTGACGATGTATCAAACTGCATCTTCCGCCAGAGAAATCGTTCTTCTCGACTACAGTAACTTTGTAGCCTGCCGCTGCGAGCCGCGCTGCGGTAGCGACACCTCCGGCACCAGCACCGACGACGATCGCGCTAGGGCGCGTGCCCTTGTTCTCGATATGCTCCCCCATTTAGTAGACGGATTGATGTGTGAGAGGCGGCACAATTGCGATGAGCGTTGTGAAGAAGACGCGTTGTAGCGCGCCACGCTCGGGTATTCCTGGATCAGTCCACACCAAGACTGCCAGTCATGACGTCTACAAAAATCAATAGGGCTAGTTTGCACCTTGGGCAATTGTTGAGTTGCGTCGGCACATTTGCGCTGCACGTGAAAGCTTCTGGCTGTCTGAATCCTAATCGGCATCTTTCCTTGGATGGTTTTCCGCCCCCTGCATGCGATGTTGAAGCCGATAAGCCACGCGAATGTAGCTCACATATGCTATCCGCGCGCAGCTTAGAGCGGAAGCCCGCGGACAAGAGATTGTCCAAAGACTTGGCGCATGCGCAAACAACTGTCACTTAACTATTCAGAGATGTGTGATCATCAGTGTCGTTCATCTCACGATGATCGTCGACGCTTCAACAAGTGCCCGCGATCGTGGGGTCCACTAGCGACGCTCGGCATTCACCTTGCAGCATGCATAGAAGATGATTGAACATTACAACATTATATTATTAGCGACTCAGAATGTCGTCTTAATTAAATATAGTGAGAACATCGGTAGAGTTGGAGTACTCGGGCTGACATTCCTCAGTAAATCCGCCAAACATGTCGGCCCTCTGTTGAACGAAATCCTGGAACGCGCTCTTGGAGCAACTCTCTCCAGGGCCGTCCGCACAAGCCAGCGGTTGCGGATCTTTGTTGACGAGGACGCGGATGTACTCGTCAGCAGCGAATCCGTAGCTGTCGCATGCCATCTTCTCAACAGCAATGTTGGACAAGAAGGGTAGGATCCTCGATGATCTCCACGCTCTCGCATGGTTGGGCCTGTCGAGGGGCATTGTGATGTTTGGGTTGTTTACTCCGGTATTAGCGGAGTTGTTGAACAGACCCATGGCGACTACGACGGTAGGAGGCAACTCGCGGTGAGTGAAAGAGACGTAGAGATCCTGGTCAGCCTCGTCCGCGAGCAACTCGACGGCGGTAGCGTTGAGCCAGGGAAGGCCAAGAGCACCCGACAGCTCGGGGCTTCCATAGCCGGTGTTGTAGAAGTACATGATATCGTTCATGTACTCGAAGGAGAGCCACTCGTCCTGGGAGAAGAGGTCGAGCGAACAGAAGGGGGAAGAGCCACGGATGACTGTCTCGTATCCGCACAGCTGCTGCATGCCTACGATGTCGGACTTGGTGAAGTTGAAGGCAGGGGCGTACGCATTCAAACGCTCGACGATGGGCTTGGTGTACGTTTCTTGGTATTGCTGGAGGAGTATTGTTAGTTGGAGTCATGTTGTCTTGGTGAGTTTACGTACAGATGACTGCTCGCTACCATATGAAGAGCTGTATTTGGGGCAACCCTTGTATGGCGTCAGGGAGTCTGCACCTCGAGCAGCATCCTCGCGGACGGAAACGCGCTCGGTGCCGTTGCTCTCAGCCACAAGGCCGTCGATGAAGGAAGATGCACTGAGCTCAGTCCTCTCGGCCGTTGATGTCCATACACGCTCAGGGTCCTTGAAAGTAGGGTAACGCAGACGGACATCGACACCCAGCTTGTATGATTGCAGCCTTCCGACCGAGGTGAGGTCCTCTAGCTCCTCGTCGCTGATGGGTGTCTGCCATTTGGTCAGGAATGACAGGGGTCCTGCGCTCCGCCAGTCGGCCGTCGTGTTCTTCAGCTTGTCGGTGAAGGGCTCGATGTACTCCTCGTAGTCAAAGTCGTTGGCGTAGATGGCGGCATGGCGAATGAGGTACGACGCGCGCGTTACGTTGCAGCCCTGTGGCGGCTTGGGGTCGAGACGCGGATCCTCGAAGTACGGGGCAATGCCGGCAAGATGCTGCAGAGGGTCGAACGAGTAGGCGGCCTGTGCCGTGGCTGCATTAGCAATTGCGAGGATGGAAACGAGGGCCGACTGCATGGTGGGCAATGTAGGCTAGAGCGCGAGCCGTACCTAGGAAAGTTGGGATACATGATCGCCTTTAAGCTCTGCCCCAGGCAGTACAAACGATGTCATTGTCCGGATCAAGCGTGCCGTACGCTGTGGAGAAAGCCGAAAGCAGGTCGTGCTCGACCACAACCGACGGGATATGACGATGTTTGCCAGGTACCTGCCAAGGCAGCGGTTGCGCATTGACCTCACCAGCCACGTCAGCCACCATCTCACATCTTCCGGCTCCTCAATGGGTGGATACGGTGAAAATAAGAACAATCAAATAACCAGGGGTATTGGGTAGCCAACTCGCTTCTAGCATTACACAGTCTCGTCACACACCGTCTCGTCACACCACGTTCGCCCGTCTCTGCAGCGTCTGCACTTTGAGTTCCAACACTTGGCAGTCATTCTCCTTGCGGTGTAGATCCCTCATGAGTCCCTCCTTCTCCGACCGGAGAGCCTGCAGCTTGCCTCCGATGCTCTCGCGGTAGGTGGCATGTTCCTCAAGCAGGGCTTCAATTCGGTACCAGTCCATCTGCCCGCTTCCTCCCGAAGCACCCTGGGACCGTAGCCGCTCGAGCTCAGCGTCTTTGGCCCTGATCTTGGATTCAAGATCAGCAACGGTCCCTTTCCACGCTTGGTGAGCGGTCGATCGGTTTAGATCGTCGATGCTGCCACCGCGCGGCGCCCCTAATTGCGCGACAAGATCAGAGTTTCGCTTTTCCAATTCGAGGGCTCGTTGCTCAAGCGCTGCCACCTTGGCCGCAGTAAAGAGGTCGGTTGTGTCGCGCCGTTCGAGGAAGCTGCCTGGACGTCCCCGGCTTGGACTGCTACGTCCAGTCTGTGCATGCAATCGCTCCACCTCTCTTGTCTTTTCCGCAAGCTTGCTCCGTACAATCTGCACGTTGATGAGATCTTCGTCGCGCAGCTTTTTGGTCGCGTCCAATTCGCGTCGACAGCTAGCTAGTAACCCCTGTATCGACATGTTAGTGAATGGCTTGCGCTAATCCATCGTCTTCACACTTACACGAATCTTAATGTTGTTCTCTACATCTTCGTCTCGAAGGGCCCAGATGGCGTCGTGTCGCTTCCACCATGTCTTCTTCTCGTCTTCCAACGCTTTCAGACGCGCCATCGTCTGCTCGTACTCTTCAGGCTTGATTGATATGGCAGGATTCGATTGTTCGATGTAGACAAGCTTGGACATTAGGGCGGCAAGTTGCGACTCCAGAGGACCAGGGACATGCGGTGCGGGTGCTGGAGATACCGGCTCCTGGCCTGTGAGGCTCATCTTCGTGGCTGAAGGCGCCAACGACTTCTTCGATGGATAAGGGACGTCCTCCTCGTTGCCATCCAGAGTGGAAGATCGCGATGTTGCATCGTCGTCCACTGGTCGCTCAACAAAGGTTCGCTGGTCTTGATATTGCGGTTTGTTCGCGCTGACTACGTGTACGACATCGTTTGCCTTCTTCTGAGAGAACAAAGGTGCTGTGGGGTTAGGTTGTTGCTGTTGTCGTTGCATTTGCGCCATGGCTGACATGGAGGTGTCTTGTGGACGACGGGAGTATTGCTGTGGCTGTGGCTGTTCGTCCTCTGAACCCAGGTCAGAGTAGTTGTCTGACTCGTAATTCGTCGGTCGTCTCTGCATTTGAGGTGAACTCATCGAAACGGGGCGACTTCCTGATTGAAAGGACGCGATAGAATGGACAGATGGTGTGCGTTTCGCTCCTGGAGTTACGCGGTTTGGTGCCCACATCTTATGCTGGGGTTGAAGTCGGAAGGTTACTGTTGCGCAATGTCTGCGTGTATGGCGAACCGAGGCAATCGAACGAAGAAGCTGAGCTCAGCTAGATCTCTTAGTAATTAAGATGAGTTTGATATCTGTCGAAAAGTCGAGGTTCAAGACAACCTCTATGTAGTCCATCGTGGATTCGCGGTCATGCTATGAAACGGTGCTGAGACGCAGGGGTCAGGACACAGAGATCTGCGACACAGACAGATGAACGACAGCCGTATCAGCCTGAGATTGCCTTTGAGCCTTGGACTGCACAATTCCGACTTGGTACAACACCTCGAGTCCGTACTTTTGAAAAGGCTCCACTTGGAGCCCCATCTCACCATGGTGTAACACCAAATTCTACGCGAGTCACGGCGCCGTTTGCTGATAGTTCAGACTAGAGCAGACCCGGCGCTACGGATGCTGGTCTGAAACACTTCAAGCCGCGATCTTGTATCAACACTACCGGTTATCACATCCTGTCTAACACGTATTCGTGCCCTCGTGCAATAGATGCCTCAGCCAAGCTGTAGGCATACATTTCTGATGAGATTACGGACTTGCGCGTGCACCATGTCAAGCAGGACATCTTCGATATTGAATGGAGCTGTGCTACACCGGGGTGCCGACGAATATATACTGTCTTATCACATATCGTAGCGGTCCGTTTCGTGGTGAGCAGGCCTGTATATGAAGTAGTCAAAAGACGCCACCTTCTCTGTGCCGTTGCAATCAGATGCCGCCATACCCACAAATGCGCCCGTGAAGCTTCCATGTCTGTGTTTGCAAAGTCAGCATGCATCATCATGTAATTGATAGAGGAAAGTAACTCACGCTTGATGGCCACCACACTCATCACTCAGGATCGAAGCATCGTAGACCGGTCCAATCTCTGTCAGATCCTTTTGTCCCTCTAGCGCGTAGCTAAATTGGAGTTTTCTGCCCCGAATGCTCAGCGCCAATCGTACCTTGCCCTCTTGTGGGAGTGACACCGGCTCCGCGAGCGGGAGTTTCAAATTGCCGTCCGGCCACGAAGCTTCCGAGGTCAAGATGAGCAGTTCCCGCTTACCATCAGAGTCGGCCGTGACGGTCAAGTAGAAGAAGTTGAAGCGGCAGTAGTAGGCAGTCAGACCTGCGAATGTGCGTTCGTCGTCTGGGCTGAAGCTAACGACGGTTTCGGCATCATACGAGAAATGCGTTTGACGGCGTGCAACAAGGGCTTGTTCGAACCAGGATCCAACGGCCTCGCGCCCAATGAGTTGCAGA